AATCTTATCAATCACCTCATCCATCTGTGTTTGTTTGATTCTACCTCTGAGAATGTTAACCCCAAGGTACTTAATAGGGAGCTTAGAGATTTTACAGCCGGTAAAATTAGGGGCCCAAGCAACAGTGTTAGATGGAGCACCTATGCCAAAGTACATAGAACACTTAGCCAAATTAAATAACATCCCAAAGGTGTTTTGAAGGTCTTTTAACAAATTCATAGTAGCTTTGATGGTGCGTTTACTAGCATTTAAAAATAGAATGACATCATTAGCATAAGCAAGGTGGCTCACAACAGTTTTAGACTTATGAGAGAATTGAAGATAAGGTCTCTCTTGATGCAACTTGTTAATAAGCCTGGAAAGATAATCAAAAGAAATTATAAAAATAGTATGAGAAAGAGGGTGTCCCTACTTGATGCCCCTTCAAGCAGAGAATAAACCACGGGCTTCACCATTGACCATCACACTATAGCTGTTATTAGACAACCTTCTCTATATAAGTGAATAGAAGTCCTATTTAAAACCTCTAGCTTGCAATATATTTAGAATAAAGTCCCAACTAATAGTGTCAAAAGCTTTCTTGATATCCAACTTGAGAACCATGTTGCCCCTCTGCACTTTTTATCCAACTCCTCAATTAATTCTTGTGCTAAGAGAATATTGTCAGTAATTTCCCTGCCCTTAATAAAGGCATACTGCTGTTCAACAATGATATGATTGAGATGGGGCTGAAGTTTGCTAACAATAATCTTACTCAGGGCTTTAGATATCACCGTAGTGAGAGATAGCGGACGAAAATTATCCCAAGTGACTTTATCATTACCTTTAGGAATAAGAACAATAAGTGCCGAGGTGAAATATTTACCAGGATTATTTCCAAGGAAAAAGATTTGAATAGCAAGAGTAACCTCCTTCTTAATAATTTCCCAAGCATGTATGTAGAATGCAGAAGAAAACTCATCAGGACCCGGGGCTTTATCAGGACAGATATATTTGAAAGTATTCAAGATTTCCTGCTCATCAGGAGGATAAACTAAACTAAGATTATTAGTATAGTCATAATCCTTCTCAAAATAGGTAGGATCAACATGCATAGTATGTGAAGAGTTATAAAATAATACAATATAAAAGCTAACAACACTGTCTCCAATCTCTTCCATAGTGATAATGCTCCCATCAATGCTCCCATCAGCTTTTTAATTTTTAAAATGCTATTGATGTTTCTTTTATGCTTAAGAATTGCATGGAAATAATTAGTGTTTCGATCCCCTGCAACAAAAGCAGAATCGTTAGCTTTCTATTTAAGTAAATTTTCCTCTAAAACAATAACGTCCATACGATCTAAATGTGCTTGGGCAACATTATCCATCAAGTGTGGAGAAATTTCAAGTTGGGCTTCCAATGAATCAACAATATTTTGCGCATCCATCACTTTTTTATGAACATTACCAAAGATATGGTAATTCCATTTCTTGAGGTGAGCTGCCACTTTTTTATGCAATTGCCACAGGACAAACCAAGGACTCCCAACACCATCATATTTCCAAGCTTGTGCAACCAAATCAAGAAAAGTAGCATGTGAAGTCCAAACATTAAGAAATTTGAATCTAGAGATGGCCGACTTAACATTAAAAACCAAAGTGAGCAATATAAAATTGTGGTCAGATGTAACATGATTCAAATGTTGCACTTTCACAATAGGAAAGTACCTTATAATAGCCGAATTAGCCAAGAAACGATCTAATCTCTGATATAGAAAACCCCTCCTCCATGTGAAAAGAGAACCAGTGCAGCTCAAATAAAAAAGACCTGCGTTAGACACAGAGTTTGAAAATCTATTTCTTTCCTCTCCATCGGCTTCATAATCATATTGAAATCTCCTCCAATAAACCAATTTTCGTATATAATATTTCCCATGGATGCATGCATGCATGATATGCGTGAATAGTATATATATATATATATATATATATATATATATAATATTTTAAGAACCATGCATGCATGAATAATAAATATGATAAGATAAGACTGATGCATGCTTGAATTGTAATAATAGGATATAATAGTTTTTTAATATTATATTATAATATTTATTATTATTTTTATTATCATTTACATATTTATTGTCCAGACGTGACATCATGATGAAATGAACGTCCCTCTTCGGTAAAAAACAACATTCTGGACACAATCACGCAGTCTGTTTCATTATCTGAAGTCGTTCGGGCGACCTTCTGATGATCGGGTCAAAAAGTGCGTCAAATTTAATTTTTGTCAAAATTTTGGTTCACGATCGTTCGTTTTGGAAATTGATCATAGTGAGGAAATTTGACTTCAATTGGGGGCAAATTGGGGTGATTTGCAGAGTTTATGCACTTCGGGGTAAAATTAGGATTTTGGTCAAAATAGGTTAATTTGGTCAGGTTAGATCGAATGGATGGTCAAGAATTAGTTTTAGGGGTGTTTAAAATAATTTTGGAGGATTTGAGATTTTTTGAGCCATGAGTGACATTTTTGTAATTTTGTTCAATTTTGGTCAAAGTAGTCAAAAAGTTGATTGAAAGACTCTAGGTGGTTTAGGAAGAAATTTGGAGTCAAACGACAGTGTCTGGGGTTATTTTCGATTAATGTGGAAGGTTTTATGATCCCCAAAATATTTTTTAAGTATTCGTTATTTTGGTGTCGAGGTGCCAAAAAGTTGTCCGGAAGTATGAAAATATTACAGCCAAAATCTCAGGAAGACATAAGAAATGATTTGGTGTGATTTTTAGGACTTATTGGTGACTCTAGGAAATTTTGGAAAATTAGGTATTTTGGGGGTCCAGGGGTATTTTGGTAATTTTTGAGAAAATTGGGTATTTTGCAATTGTTGGGTTTCAAATGGTTTAAATGATAACATCAAATGGTTTGAAGTGGGTTTTGTGATTCAATGACAGTATGAGAATATTACAGCCAAAATCTTAGGGGAAACTGTGTTTAAAAAATTTTGGTCAGCCCCATGGGTGTAATGATTGCAATATTGTGATATGAAAATACAATGTTTATGATGATCATGGTGATTATGAATGATGATGCAATATATTGAAATCCAAAAAGGTATAGAGCAGTGTAAAACTTTTCTATGATCCATAGGTCCTATAAGAATTCTCATCAGGGTTCCCTTATGTAATCTCTAATCTTTGTATTAAAGATTATTGATCACATATAAAACCAACATAGAGAACATATATTTGGTTGAAATGTCTAGGAAAAAGGTGGGTACCGTTTCTAAGATGCTAAGATAATCATTAGGAAAATCCTAAGGTTAGATCCTAGTCACTAAAAGAAATACCCAAAATCCTCACTCAAAAGTGAGGTCAACAGTCTCCAAAGAAAGAGATAGAATCAAAGTACTTTCCACAACATGTACTGAAAATTCTCTCACCTTAAAGGGCTTTAAAATCTCCGTCTCTTCATCTTTCCCTTTCCAATCTTGGAAGTTTTTCAGAACATCTTTCCCTCTTTTGCTTCCGTTGAAGAATCTCTTTTAACGATCCTCCAGAATGTCCATTTCTTACCTCGAGATCTTTCCCATCATAATAAAGGCCAAAGTAATATTTAAATCTCTATGAAAGCTAAGTAATGCAAAGACGTGAGCTCTAACTTACAACTCCAATAAGATTCATGTGACTATTATATATCATAAATGAATTTAACGCAAAATACTTTTTTTGTAATCATCAAAATTAATTATATCGTTAGTAACATTCTAATTTTACTCTTATAACAGAGTAACCCATGTCAATGAGCAATAGAAGTAACCACATGGCAATTTTTTCCTATGATGTGAAAATTATTCTCTAGCAAAGGAAAAGATCGAAACCATCGTGTCCTTTATAACAGGGAATTCTCGAACTCTTTTACCCTACATCTCATCATCTCCTTGGAGCACAATCCTTCCAATGACTATAGCAACTCACATTCTTCATTCTCCATTCACTAGCATATGTCCTCACCTCAGTGAGGAAAATCTCTCTTACACACCATGCAGGTCATCACATATGAATAAATAACTTATGCCACCTAGAAAGCTATGACCACTAAACAAGAAACAATTCATACCTGCTCTAGAGTACTCACGACTACTCTCCGTATATGAAGCAGTAAGGCTCCTGGAGGAAGGAAAGTCCAAGCAAAGGAACTAGTTCTTGCAACTATTCTCAGGGGCTAAGCTAATAAAGTTTGATGGTATTGCAAAATCCTAGTTTGATTGAATATGATTTCCTTTCTTGTGAAGTACTAACCCATCATGGCACTTGTTGAGACTTTGTCACTCCTTTAGCAGCTCAAAGTGATCAATTTTCTTTCATTCTCTCATTCTTCTTGCAGTTTTCTGCTGAAGAGTAAGGGAATCGAGAGATGTACATCCAAAAATATATCTTCAAAATAATAGGAAAGCCTATACATTATTTGGGTTTTATGGGCCTTATAGATCAAGTCCATTCATCATGCATTTGGAATGTTGACCTTGATCAAATCGGTCGTACACACTTGTAATACCCATGGAGATGACAATTACCGGACTTTCCTCTCAAAAAGTCTTCGCGATCTCCCCTTTCGAGTGTGCCAATGCTTATGTGAGTCCTCCAACTAAACTTACCAATACTTAGTATTCAAATGAGCTTCTTCGATCAAGTTTGCTCATGCTCCTCAAGCTCTTCTACTGAGCTTGTCCGAACCTAGTGAGCCCTCCTTCTAAGCTTAGCTGCATCTATCAAGCTACGATATCAAGTTCGTTAAACTGTCCCTCAAAAAAAAAAAAAGACTCTGTTCCATCCTCGTCCATGCCTATTTATTGACCGCTTGATGTCCGCGCTTAGGATCCTATCAACAATGAGCCTTAACCAACTCCATACAACACAACCTACAATATAACACTTGTTTATTCTTTATAGTCATATGTAAGCAACTTTATTCTATGAGATGTAAATAGGAAAGGGGGAGAGTGTCTACGCTTTTCTTCATCACCGATAACACCACCTCAACTTCCTTCTACTTATAGAGAATGCATGACCTTACAACTTCAAATGATTAAACACCATATAAGAAATGGCTAAATCACGACGACAATCAAGTTCCACGTAGGCTAGCCCTATCCAGCTTTTCTGCTTTCGACTTTCTCCGCATCTTTTCCACTTTCGACTTTCTCCGCAGTGACCATGGCGGCCGCTTGCCAACTTCCGGTGACTACCTTTTCGTCTAACTACAAATCGCACATATACTTTCACCGACTCGCCTTTCCTCATTCTTCTTCCTGTCGCTTCTCCTCTCCATGGAGCCTCCCTGACATCGGTAATCCCATGAAGAGGGAATACGCACCAGAGCTCGCCGAACGGGGAGCATTGAAGTGGAGAACTAGGGTTTCCTTCCTACCTTCATTTCCCAAGAATAAGAGTCGGGAGGATGTCAAGCAGGAGCTCTTGAAGGCTATCGCTGAGCTCGATCGCGGCGCCGATGCCACTTCCGAGGATCAGGAGCGCGTCGAACAGGTTCAAAGACCAGAAATTTGCTTTGTTTAGTTTGTGGGAACATTAAGCTTTCTGCATATTCTAATGGAAATGAGAGGAAAAAAAAAAAAAAAAACATTTTCTTAGGGACTGCTGAGTAACGGCTATAAGGCAGGGCTTGGCTTAAATCCAGCTTAAATCCAGCCAAATGACAGAAATATCAAATCACGAGCCAAAGTTTTAATATGCCTTTGGTAATTATATTGAGAAGGAACAAGAATTGCAATCTCATCAAACATTATCCTAGCAGAGTAGATTACCTTATGCAATCTCATCTTAAAAAAATTCGGTATTCGTAGCTTGTGTTCTAGAGTGGAAAGTTAAGAAGAGATGCCATGCTTTCCTTTGTTTCTCCATTCCTTGAATTTGCATGAGGTATTTGTTATTAATGGTGATTTACACAAGTGTAAACATAATGTTATGTTCGTCGCTTCCTTTTCTTTTCTTCATTGTTGGGTCCATCCATTAGCATGTTAATCTCGATGCCATCATGTTTTCACCGTAAATATTGATATATCATGTATGATTAATGCTTACATTCCATTCAGTGTAATTGTTGTTTAACTTTTTGAGTATTTAGGTGCAACATGGTAGAAGTCTCCAATGCCATTATTGCAACTCGCAAACCCAAAGAAAATCCATAATCGTGAGCATGAATACGAAGCCAAAGTTGAAGTTGAAGACATAAGCCAATCATCATCCATTGTCACCAAGCTTTGATAACATATTAAAAAAAGCTCAGCAAAAATAATTGTCTAATATCAACTTGCAATCCCATAGAAAATCCATAAGCTTGAGCATGAGAGACCTGTTGGATCAACGAAGCTAAAACTGAAGTTGACGGCATGTGCATATCATTATCCAGTCACCAAGTTTTGATAACATGTTAAAGTAAGCTCAACAAAACTAATTGCCCCAGATCAAAACTAACCTAACGAATCATCATGATTAAAAGTAAACAATAAAAGGGGCATAATATTGGCCACACAATAAGGTGATTACGAAGAAGCTATTTCATGTAATGTGTCAAACATCAATGAATTTCTCTGTGACAGCTGATGATTCCTCCACACAAGTAAACAAAAAATGATAAAAGAATACTTGCTTAAGGATAGAGAATTAGCAGCTAGAATAACTTAACATGAAATAACTAGAGAACAAGAACTGAATAATAAACAGAAAAAAGGTGGATATGCATGGAATTTAATGAAAAGTTGCAGAATTAAAATTGATGAAATACTTTAGTTAAGCTACAAATTAAACAAATAAAGCAAGTAAAATAAATCTATTACCACATAAATAAAGAAGTGAAAATAATTATTTTAGGAAGAAAATGCATTAAATATTGATAATGGAAAGTTCCGTAGGTTCCGTTACAATCAATAATGTAGAGTAGTATGTTGTTGTATTTGTGAAATTAGAAGTTTTATTGCAGAAGTTAGGCCTCCATAAGTAGTGCATTTTAGCCCAAGTGGTTGTATGTCTAACATGGAAGTTGACAGCGTGGCAACCATGGATAAGCTTTAATCTAATGGATTTGGAGGATAACCAGGTTTAAATTGTAAATTTTAACGCTAAATGACTGTTTATGATCCTTTTGGGTTTGCTTAGTTATATCTATAAAACTAACACTATTATTGACTATATTTGGAACTAGCTAATTAGGTAAGATAACAATCCACTTTTATGTTTCCTGTGATAGTTTCGGCAGCGTAGGTGGTAATACTAGAAACATTAGCCTATTACAAATTCTCATTATTGTTCCTTTTACCTTTATTTCATATAATTGATTTTATAATCAGGGAGAATGCGTGGATCCAATGGTTGTATGCACAATTGAGATCCATCACTTGATATATGCAAACACCCTGCTTCAACATCAAAATTTGACTAGCGTAATTGTCTTAAATCTCATTTGAATTTATAAAATGATTCAACAAATGAATTATTACTCGTGCCTGGTTTGTTTGATTTTTATTTTTAATTCTGTTTTCATGTAATTATGATCCCAAAACTATATGGATTATGAATTAGACTCGGTCACAAAGCATTTAATGAGCGGTGCTATGTTGTCTAACTCCTCAAATTTCTAACGCGTGCACTCTCTTACATTAGTTCAATGGTCTTGGAATCACTCAAATTACAACTAATGCTATTGTGAATGGAGCCAAATTGTTTTGGGCAATCCAACTCCAGGTTAAATATGGATAAAGTACCTACCAAACAAACAACTTAATTTTATGATGCAAACCATGCCAATTAGATTAAAAGGTTTAAGAAATAGAAAAAATAATAATAAATTCAAGCATTCTATTTATAGGAACCATAGCTTAACATTTGCATTTCTAAGTGGTGAAATGTAATTTTCCGTCATATTCCGACTCTTATAAAATCTTAAACAACTAAATTGCTCATTGCAGGAGGAAGTTTGTTTTTAAGTCTTGCAAATGCATTAAATGTGGTTTTTATCATCTATTTAATTGACGTACTTTGAAGATTGTTGCACTTGCCAAAATGCAACATGCCAGTATGAATACCCCTTATGTAATCTTAGCATATTTTCTTGAGAACTAGTCATTTTAATTTAGCTGTTTTGATGTGAATCTAATCATAAATACTTTATTGCTTAAATGGGGTTAATTAGGATGAGTATAAGCTTAATGCATTGTAATTCTATAAATATTTCCAATTGGGAAGTATTTATCTAATTCTTTTTTATTTTATGTTTGCACAACGAATAATGAATAAATGGGTTAATTAGGCACAATGAATAATGAGTAAGTTTCCCTTTCCTCCTATCTAATTCTTTTTTATTTTATTTTGAAATTGATAGAGCATCTTGAAATGCCCTAAATAGGATCTAAAATACTTCATTGGTGCATTTGTTGATACTTCTCCCTTCAGGGTTTTGACACCTATTTATTGAAGCTCGACTTCTCAAAAAAATCTCTTCATCATCTTGGTTAGAAATACGTCTGATACCATTCTTGTCTCTGCAAATCTTCTTGCCGCATGAGCAAGTCACACCATTTCATTGTATTAACTACTACTGCAATTTTGTCTGCAAGCTTTCATTCCTATTTTGATATTCCTTCTGTCCTAATTCACTAAGGACTTGTTCGTTGCCAAGTTTGTTGCCCTCACTGACTCCTAGTTCCCTAATGCTGAATATCGATCACCTCTTTCATCATTATCTTCAAGAATTTTAGCAAGAAATTGACATTGCTCTGCCCTGTTCTGTCCGACGAGAATCCTTCAATTACATGGTGTAGTTTACCATTTTTCCATCACTGCTTCTTGGTTTGAGATCTCAATTAGATTTTTGGGAACGAATCACAACATAGTTATGAAAATTCAAGCTGGATAATTTTTTTAGTAGAGATTGAAAAATTTTTAATTGATCATGGTTGTATAAGTCTCAATAGATTGAATGATAAATTAACATCTAAAAATGAGCTGTTAAAGAGTGTTATCAGTTGATTGGTGAACCTTGCAAGACTTCTTGGATTGCATGTTCAACAAGAATAATTAGCAACACCCACAATTACTTCATACACTATTTCATATTTTGAAGAAAATTTTGGTTGCACAAACTTTAATGCTGTTTAGAAAAAAGGCTAAAGATGACATAATTGAGGAGATTAACTTGCATGATAGTGAAGCTCAATCTCTCTTTTTTTAAGAAAGTTTCACGCAATTGTGAAATTTAAAACGATTGAAGATGAAGGGGGAAACTTAGAATATAATTTTTTTGATGAAATTTATGAGCAAGCATCAACCATTGGCTCATTTGAGCGTGAATTGAGTTTCTCAAGTGTCCATGGTTAAAATTCTTTTAGATGATCTCTTTTATGCTTATATGCACAAGAAGAATCCCTTTGAGAAGTTGTGACTATGGATGGCCTCCATCTCTGTTGGATTGAGTTCGTTGTTGTGAGTGGGAAGTAATAATGTGAGCCTAATTTAATTAGTTTAGTGGTTAAATGAGATTAATTAGAATGAGTAATTAGCTTAATATACTGTAATTTTATAAACACCCCAATTGCAGAGTTTGAGGCTAAGTTCCTTCTAATTTGTTTTGTTGAATAAGCTGCAATATCAATGTTTTATTTTTTAAATATTTATTATTTGTAATTGTCATCAATATCATTTTCTTTATCAGCTTGTTACAAATATTTGAGCGGGCTTGTGAGCCCTTTAATGCTATTTGTTGAAAAAACTTTTGGTGTTAATTTTAGTCTCTCAAATCCTTCCTAATAATAGCTGAAATCCACAAAAGCTGTGGGGCACTCTCTCATTGGAAGCTATTTTATATTTATGCTATTTATTGACCATGCACAATTCTTATTTGACCTCCATTTTACACGCCAAAATTATTTCTAACCATTTTCATTTATCTATATATATATATATATATATATATTGCAATTGTCAAGTCCCAAATCTCGGATGTAAAAAGTGGAAGGTTATGTTAGGTAATCGATAGTCAGCATAAATTTTGTCAAAAAATCATGGCATGAATCATTTTGATCATTGTGTAAATGCTAGGACGTCCTTGGGAAGCGACGAGTTGTATTAGCTTGAATACAGTGCAAGGGCCGATACATTGGCACTAGGGTGTAGTGTTAAATTAGCAAAGATTTTCACATTACGGACGGATGCATGTAAAGAAGTTAGTTCATGAAACTAATAATAGGATAAGATTTTGAAATATAGGTACTCTCACAGGTAATTTAATGAAACTAGTTGATATTATGATTCATAGAAAGATAAATATCTTATGTATTAAAGAAATTAAATGAGTTAGAGAAAAGATCAAGGAGATTGATAACTTAGGCTTTAAATTTTGGTATTCAGGTAAGAGTCGCACTAGAAATGGTGTAGGTGTAATTATAGATAAGTGTTTCAAAGATAATGTTATAAAAATTAGTAGAATTGGAGATAGAAATATAGCCCTTAAGATTATTGTTGATACTAAGATTTTTAATATTATAAGTGTTTATGCTCCTCAAGTAGGTTTATATATAGGTTTTAAAGAAAAATTCTTAAATGATTTAGAAAATTTAATACAAATGACATCTCTTGAAGAAAGAATTTTTATTGTAGGAGATTTAAATGGACATGTCAGTAGAGTGGTAGAAAATTTTAGAAATATTCATGGTGGCTATGGTTTTGGAGTGATTATGAAGAAGTTAGAGTCATATTAGATTTTGCTTTAGCGTATGATGTTGTTATTGTCAATACTTTATTCAAGAAAAGAAATGAGCATATTATTACTTCTAAGAATAGATCTAATAAAACACAAATTGATTCTTTTCTTATGAGAAAAAAAGATCGCGGAGAATGTAAATATTATAAAGTCATTCCAAGTGAAGATTTTACGTAGTCAACATCGATTATTGGTTCTAGATTTTAAGATGAAGAGCTGTAAAATAAAAAATACTTTGATTCATTGTCGAAGAATTAGATGAGACACCAAAATGACAAATAAATTTTTTTTTATGAGTAAATTTCAAAATTTCAAGATTTGTGATGTTCATGAAATAACTAATTTTATGTGGGATCAAGTAACAGACATTATTAAACAAGTGACAAAAGTTGTCTTTGGAGAATCAAAAGAAAAAGTTTCTTTAAATAAAATAGTTGATGGGGGATAATAATATGCACAAAAAGATAAAAATATAAGAAGTTGTGTTATAAAAATTGGTTTGAATGTAAAAGTTTAGAGAACTGAGAAAAATATAAAATGACTCGTACGAAGCCTAAGAGAATAATCTGTGACGCTAAACTTCTGCTTTTAGTGATCTTTATAATATATTAGATACTAAAGATGATGATGAAAAATATATGTATAAAGTAGCCAAACAAAGAGAAAAGAAAAGTAAAAGATTTAACTTAAGTAAAGTGTATTAAAGATGAAAATCAAAAAGTGTATTTCCTAGAAAGAGATAAAAAGATATTAAGATATTCAACATAGATGTGTCAGCTATTTTGATAAAATTTTTAATGAAGTTTCTGAAAGTATGATTGGCCTTAGTGATCTCAATATCATTAATAATAATAAAATGTTTCATTTTTTACCGTTGTATTAGTAAAAAAAAAGTTGAGGAAGCTTTAAAGTAAATTAATTGTGGAAATTCTATATGACCTGATGATATCTCAATTGAACTGTGGAAATATATAAGAGCTTTGGGAGTTTCTTGGCTTACTAAACTCTTTAATATTATTTTAAAAACTAAAAAGATGCTTGAGGAGTGGAAGAAGAGTATTTTGGTCCTCATCTTTTAAGAATAAAGGGGATGCACAAAAGAGTGTGCAAATTATTGAGGAATTAAGTTGATGTGTCATACTTTAAAAAAAATGGGGGAGGATAATTGAATATAGGTTAAGACGTATTACAAAGATTTCTCATAATCAATTTGGATTTATGCTGGGCATGTCTACTATGGAAGCTATACATTTATGACAGAGGTTTGATGGAGAAGGTTCAGAGAGAATAAGGAGGATCTACATATGATTTGTATTGATTTAGAAAAAACTTACGATAAGATTCCAAGAGATATCCTTTGGAGAGTTTTAGAGAAGAAAGATGTAGATATGAATTATATTCAAGTCATCAAAGATATATATACTAGAGCTATCACTTGTGTTCGAACAAAAGGAGGATTGACCAAATATTTTCTTATTTCAGTTGGATTACATCAAGGATCGAGTTTAAGCCCATTTCTTTTTGCTTTAGTTCTGAATGCTTTTACTGGACATTTACAGGAGTATGTACCTTGGTGTATGTTTTCGCTGATGATGTACTTTTTGTGGATAATACTAGAGAAAAAGCTCAGGAAAAACTAGAATTATGGATTTTTACATTGGAGTCTAAAGACCTTTGTATGAGTAGAACTAAAACTGAATACATGGAATGTAATTTTAGTAGTAGTAGCTCTAGTGACAAATTTGTAACTATGGGTGATCAAATTATTAAAAGATGTGAACGCTTTAGATATCTCAGGTCTATTGTTCAAAGTGATGATGATATAGATGGGGATGTTATTAGTAGAATTCAAGTTGGTTGGTTAAAGTGGAGGAGTGCTTTGGGCCTATTGTGTGATAGAAAAGTACCGCTTAGACTGAAATGAAAATTTTATAAGGTGGTGGTGGGACCTGCAATGCTCTATTCCGTTGAATGTTGGCCTTTAAAAGGGAAGCATAAAATTAACTTAAGTGTTGTCGAGATGAGGATGTTTAGGTGGATGAGTGCTTTTAAACTTAGAGACAAAATGCGAAATGAATATATACGTGATAGGGTTGGTGTAGCTCCAATGGCGGAAAAAATTAGAAAGAGCTGTCTTAGATGGTTTGGTCACATTAAACATCGATCATCTGATGATCCGGTTAGGAGAATAGATATTTTATATTCGACTTATATTAAGAAAGACAGAGGAGGACCTAGAAAGACTTGGGTATATTGTATAAAAAATAATCTTAGTTTGTTAGAATTAAATGAAATAATGACACTCAATAGGACGCAATGGAGAAGCAATGGAGAAAAAGGACATGTAGTCGACCCCACTTAGTGGGATAAAGGTTTGTTGTTGTTGTATTAAAACATTCAGTTTTGTAATTATACCTTGCTTCATAGCATTATGTTTCTGCTATAATTTTTTTTATTCTTTTATCTAATCATCCCAATGGATAGATAGCCCGTCAGCTCGAGGAAGTTAATCCAATTGGGGCACCACTTAAATCAGATTTGCTCAATGGAAAATGGGAACTTTTATACACAACATCGAGATCCATTCTTCAATCCCAGGTTTAGTTCTCTGAAATTTCACATGATTCTGATTTGTTTTGAAAAACAGTGTTGTATTTCTTTAACAATAAATTAATTTCTTAGTTTTCCTTTATTTTATTTTTTTCTTTCTTCAGAGTTCAACAATAATACAACAAACATCCGTAATTTTTTCTTTACTTGTTGAGCAAAGAACCATCTCTTGTACAAATTAACACTATCACGACATCAACTCTTAGGTAAATAAATACCTTAGATCATGACAGTTTTTTTTTTGCATCATGCAGAGACCCAAAATTTTACGTCCATTTGGTAAGATCTATCAAGCCATCAATGCTGATACATTAAGGGCTCAAAATATTGAAACTTGGCCTTACTTCAATCAGGTAACTTTGTTTATATATTTTCATTAGCTTCGCTCTGGTATTTACTAGCAAAGACATGTCTCTTGTGATTTTTATGGACTTTCACTACCGCATATGTATCCATTTCTAGGTTTTTTATCCAAATGCGTTTCAGTTCTTTTCCTGATTTTGGGGGCACTTTAAACTATATAATAATTTTCTTAATACGAAGTTTGCCATTGCAGGTCACTGCTAACTTAGTACCTCTCAATGCAAGAAAGGTTGCTGTTAAATTTGACAGATTTAAAATTGGTGGATTGGTAGGTGACATTTGTTTGTTAATGTTCCGCATTTGATCTTATTTTGGTTTGTTTTTCTTTGTCTGATCAGGCCCTATATCTCTTTTTTCAAGCACCGGAAGCTCTGCGACTTTTTCTCTCTGCTTTAGGTGCATCTTGCATCATTCACTGTTGAGTACGAATTTGTATCCAGGGTCTAAATATAAATAATTTGGCTAATTAAACACTCTCATCAACCTAGGTTTGGCTTATGTCTACTTTATTCCATCATGGGGCAAAAATTATACCCTTAATCCTTAGATAACTTGCTGTCAATTTCTATCTGGAAGAAACTAATTAGCGAAATTGTGAGAAGATCCCTGTCTTTCTTTGTGCTGATGTATTTTTATTCCTTCTTTTCGGATCATAGAATGGTTTCTCGATATTTTAATGATAGCTTGAGTTTTTTATTTCCTCATTTGACTTATATTTATACAAACCAAAAGAGGATTATGTGATTGGAAGTATATACAACCAAGAGCAAAAATTTAGCTATACAATTAATTGCAATAAATTCATAGTGAGATGGCATTACAGAGCACATGAATGATGAGATAATATTCATGAGAACACAAATTGATGAGGTGGCATGAAGGGAGTCATCTGGCTATAGTTTTTGTCTAATGCATGAGTACATGGATCGATGAGGTGGCATGCAAAAGCCGATATAGCCGTTTTTCTTGGAGATTAATTTGATTTAGTTGTATATGTTGATATCTTTCCAGTTGATGTTGGTTGGTCAAGAAGTATCCATTTGCTTGTAATAAACTAATGTCTTTACTTGGTAAATTTCTTTGTAAAATCTATAATTTTAAGGTTTGGGGACATATGATGAAGACAAATATTATGAGTATCGAATGCTTTTTGAATTGAGTGTCAATTAACTTCATATGCTTAATTCTTTCGAGATATGTTAGATTGGTAGCAATTGGGAGAACACTTGGGACTTTATTAAGGACAATTGAGTTTGAATAGAATCTCATATAACCAGATAATTTGTTGAAATAAAGAGAAAATATCCGGTCCAGTTTTAGTCCAGTAGTTTAGATTTCCTATCAATTGTTCATATGCAGTAGGCAGGATCAGAGAGAATAATTTTTCTTCACTAAGATACTTCGTGTTTACTTCTAATAGATTATTTGCAGGGGAAGTATTTTGAAGACCTATCTATGTAATTAAATCATGTATATATCTATGCTGGTTTAGAAATGTACCAAAGGATTTGGTGTGTACTTTCGAACTTGAGAAGTGAGGACCCTAAGGTTATTCATATCAAGTGCATCTTAGTAGTGTTGTTGAAGATGATTAATTATCATCAAATCTGTCCCATAATTGATGATATCAACATAAAATAGAAGAATAGCAATTCCATCATATGTTTTATAGAGAAAATGATGAATCACATTTGATTTATGTAAAAGAGATTGTTAGTAAGGTTGACCAACAAATCATGCACGGGATCCTGTTTCAAATTATAGGGAGTGCTTTTGTTTATATATTTTTGTAGAAGAAATAAATACTCCATGGAAAACTTCTATGCTGATTTCTTTTTTGAGATCATCATAAAGAAATGTATTTTTATATTGAACTAGTGAAGTGATCATACTTCTGAAATAGCAATTAAGATAATCATTTACGTTGTGGTCATTTCGCTATAATTGAAAATATTATCATTTCATAATCAATTTCATATTATTGCTTGTTATCAAGGACACTAAATCACACTTCATATTGATCTAGGGTGCCAACAAATTGAAGTTTGATTGATTAAACCTATTTATATTCTTTGGCTTTGATTGTTATAGGGCACTAAACAATCTCCATTTATGATTTTCCTGAACAAGTTAAAGTTTGACAGCCATTGCTTCTTTACAACATATATGCTTACTAGCTTTTACATAACTTGAAAGAATAGAAATAGAGGCCATTTTATTGTGGAATCCATACCAATTTAGGGGATGAAAAATTTTTTAAGAGCGTATGGAAGCTGTGATTGAGATGTTTTAGTGGCTTTAGATGGTGGATCATTTGCACAGTTTATGGTGGTTGATGAGACTTGGATGGAGAATTTGCCTTAGAAGCTGGTCTGGTTGGAAGCTTTCTTTCACATACAAAGTCTTGTTTTGAATTTTGCAACATGGAATTCCGATCATTAAAATGAGGAAGAACATAAATTTCTAGCAGAGGCTCAACGTTAGTAGGGAAAAAGAATTGATGTTCAGAGAATATAAGATGACAATAAATTTGAAATGATTTGCATCCTATATCACATCATACATTGCCTTTGCAAGAAGTGTCATAAATGTATATTTAGTGGATTGAGCTGAAAGTTTATGATGATCATATACAAAATGTGCATCGTGAAATGTGTATAAATCAATATAGGTTACATTTTTATGGAAGTGATAATAATAAGGAGAGTCAAGTTTCAAGGGACAAGAGGGTTATCTATTAGTAGAAAATTTCGACAAAATTGAGGATTCTAGCTTTAGGTTTGAATAACATCTATATGGGACAATTTCTTTTGTTAAGCAGTACCATTTTGTTAAGCTGTATAAAGGCATGATCTCAAGAAATAATTTTCTTCTTTTTAATGGGTGACATTCAAGGGATATATATTCATCTCTAGAGTCAGATTTCATTATTTTAATATGAAATGACAATTGAGTCTCAACATAAGTAATTAAGTTTTAAAAGATAAGAAGTTTTAGATTTTTTATGAAGAAATTAATTCTAAGTGCAATTGTTATAATCATTGATGAAATTTACAAATTATTTTTAATTTGCATGCAATATAACAAGAGTAATATCTTATACATCATTATGGATCAAGTCAAAATAATTTTTGGCATGACTATCATGCGATGGAAAAGAATGATTTCTTGCTATTTTCAAATTTGAATGTTGAGTAATCAATAGGAGTAAATTGATCATTCTTTTCTAATAAACTGGAGTTTATTAAGTGATTTAAATAGAAGAGTGTGGAATTGTTGATCTATTTTGCATCGGAGACCATTATTTTGATTTATCTCTGTATAGAATAATGGAACACTCTTTGAAGTGGATGGATACAGGGAAAACTATTATTGAACTTTATGCTTCTGCTTGTGTAGTTCCTACATCATCTGATTCTGCATACTGCTACCATAACATTGAACATTATGATTAATATCAATCAACATTTCTTTCGAGGTGGACTTAAGAAGCCTGTTTAGCAATAATTTATGGAGATTAATTTTCAATTAATCATATACGTAGGTTTGCATTTCAAACTTCTGATTAAATATTTTTTAACAAATTTTTGTATGAACTTGGTTGTACAACTAATTCTATCGATTAATGAGAAAAACAGTTAATCAATTTTTTTCTCTTTAACGGTGCTGCATATATATCAGTAAAAGATAAAAGCTTAGAGGTGAAACAGTATAGTTTTCATTAAATCTTTGAATTATTTGATGTTGGCTCAAACTAAATGCTGTATTGCGCCATTACGATAGAGTTCTAAGGGCATGCCAACATTATAGGATGTAGCAATGGGTTGATACATGCAATCATTCTCGATTTATTGCGGTGAGATTTACTTAGTTCACTACAAAGAAAACCTCACAATTTCTCTCTGCTGGCACTTTGCCTTAATAACTCATTTTTCTCCACAAATAAACTCAAGAAGCCTTTCATCCTTTGATAAGCTATCTTTCAATTTTTCTTTTTCATCAATTTAGTTATGGCAAGCATCCCATGTGGTTATTGATATTGTAACTTGCGTTAACAGATACCTGTAACGGCGCCCGGAAGAGAGTTGGAAATTACATACCTAGATGAAGAGATAAGGTAAGCAAGCTTTTGTACTATTTTCTTCAGCCTAATTCTAGATGGTTAGAGCCTAATAGTCTCATACTTAGTTGAGTACAAATAATGCCATTTTCCACAGCCCTTTGGTTGAATTAAGCATGTTATGAAGCTCTTACTACGCATATTTGATAAACTGAGTTCTATTAGTAGGAAATATTTGGTCTAACCATTCATATAAAGCTGTACTTGAAAAAATAAAATATCTGTTTCAATGTGGCATGCTTCTTTGATTTATATATTTCTCTAATAAATGTGGTGCATGCAAGTGGTGTCGGTTAAAAACTGATGGTTTAAAAACATTTTCTGATTGTAGGATTTCTAGGGGTGACAAGGGAAATTTGTTCATTTTGAAGATGGTGGATCGAGCTTATCGAATCCCTAGTTGATGATATTTCATGGAAAATTTTGGATTTTTCTATATTTATTTATTAGCTCCTAAACATGTAAATTAAATTAACAACTTAATGTATGTGTGATACAATTGAATATATCAGAATTCAGCAAGTAAAATTTAGTCATATTACTTTAAAAAGTTAGTAGTTGTGATGTTTTTGATGCGATGTAAAAGATTTGAGTGTTATGCTTGCAAATAATAATGTTCAGTTGTTAGATATGTAAATGCATAAGAATTGTTTGGGTTGCATGTAAACTTCCCTTGTAGGTATTTTGTAAGTATGCAGTACTTAGGTGTTAGATATGGAATTTTCTTTATCCTATTGTGGTCCGTCATATATTGTAGCAACACTAATTATTCACATTTGTATTATCTGTGTGTGTGTGTGTGTTTATTTATTTATTTATTTTTTTTTTTTGAGAAGGGTAAGCTCAAAGGGCGATGTGTGTGATTCGAACTCACAATCTCATGGTGTTGGTTGTACCCTCAACCACCATGTCTCTAGTAAGTACGCCTGTATTATATCTGTTGTTATTCAGGAACAAAAAACATTTGATGGTCTGTCAGAGTGTTTTTTTTCCTGTACTTTTGGATTAAATTTTCAGAAGATAGATTTGATTATAGATAGAAAACTATTTAGATACATTGCCCTCATTTTATGAGAGTTTTAGGATCTAATTTAAAGTTTTTCACGGTTGTAATATCTTATTATTATTTATCTCTTTTGATAACAACAAGGAGCTTTTGATTAGGACCCATTATTAAGGTGCTTGTTGTTTAGCCTATAGTATCAACCATGTAATTATAGATTAATAGAAATTATCACTATAAACTTATAGCTCGTAATGTGGGTGATGATAAAAAACTTAATTAAGGTCTCAGGATTTTGTCATTAGTTATTAAAGGAGCTTTTTTACTTAATCAAAGGAGGTTGTCGACCAAGCATTATCAAATAAAACTTATCTGTGGCCATGAGTTATTTCTTCCAATGAAAACTTGTAGGCGTGATGTGAATGTTTGGCTAAGTATATATTTTAAGTTGGCCTTAGACAATGGATAAATTTGTGCTTTATCAAATATATTATATGATTCATAGCTCAAGAACGTCATTGGAGAATATTTGAGCTTCCATCGAGCTTGCGATACAATGATTCCTTTGAGGTGCAAGCCGGCTAGTCAAATGGCTATAATCGTAATCATATTTTTTATGGCACCCTCAAGGGATAAAATCACTGGGACTAAAAATAGGAATTGCGCCCTTTCTTGTATTAGATAATTTGGAAATGATCAGAGTGATATGAGATTTATTCTTCATGCGAATTGTTAAGCAAATTGTTTACCCTTGATGAACTAATGTCGGATTGAGTTTGGACTAAAAATAGGAATTGCGCCCTTTCTTGTATTAGATAATTTGGAAATGATCAGAGTGATATGAGATTTATTCTTCATGCGAAATGTTAAGCAAATTGTTTACCCTTGATGAACTAATGTCGGATTGAGTTTGCTCTTCACTTTAGAGGGTTAATTTCTTGAACACCTAAATCATATATTTTTTTAAATTTTGAGAGCAATTTAAAAATAAAGATCTATCTAGTTAAGATTTTTTGTAAACATAATCACCATTAGGGTGATTTATTTGCATTGTTGGTGCTTATGATTTGGTTGAAATGTATTATTTGAATATTGTCAGAGCATCATCTTGTCAATTACAATTCTTGTAAGTTGGATCGAACTAGTTGAGTGGAGCTTACTCTATCAACTCTAGACCTTATAAGGATTAGGGTTGGAACGAATAAGTGGGACTTGTGACTTTGTGTTATAAGCTAAGGCGTCTAGCCTGAGATAATTTTTGTAGTTATCGATTCCATAGTTTTTGAATCTATCTATAATGGATTGATTTGGATATGATAAAAATTATATATTTATTTTATATTCACTAATTTTTAATGAATTTTCATAGTTGATTTTATGTCTAGTTTCTTTGTCAAATTTTCATGATTTTAATTCAGAAGAAATTTTGATATATTGAAATAAATCATGTTGTATTCAATTAAATTTTTGGATGTGTTTAATATCTTATTTATGAACAATCTTAAGCACATTATAGAGCACTCTAAATTTTATTTTAAAAAAATTATCCATTTTTATAGGTACCATACATCTAAAAATAAGATATGTTTTATTTGATTTGTCCTCAAAACATTAATAAGTCTTTGTAAAAGCAAATATTTTGGAATCATCTGATTAGGGTGTAAAAAATTAACCAGACACCCTAATTCAGCTCTAACCCAACTCAAAAAATTCGGTTCGAGTTAGCAATTCTAATATTTTTAATTTTTTTGGTCGGATTTAGGTTTACCTACAAACTCAAATATTCATTTGGTTCTAGGAGACCTTAAGAAAATTTCCATGAATTTTAAAATTTTCTTAATAATGTTTAGGATTTTAAATTAATAATTAATAATTAATTAAAAATATGTTAAATTTAATTACCTTAAATTTTTTGTGGGAGCTTTCTTTGGTCCAGTCTAAGTAGAGTGACTATTCTTATACATTTTTAATGATATTTTGGTAATTATTTTTAATTTTTTTCTGAAAAATTAATTAAATCTAATAAAGAAGCTAATTGACCTCTAAACTTAAAGTGGGTTATCCTTAATGTTACTTTTAATCCATGGGATCACCTCAATGTAGATTTCTAGTTTACCTAACTCAAAAAAAAAAGTTAACTCCTAAATTTAAGGAAAAATATAACATAAATCAAAATTGAGAACACCTTCACCAAATATGCTAATTAACATATTTAAGCCATCTTTTTTGACAATTATGAATGACTCATTATCCTTAACTAAGTGATCATTCTATTATCATTGTGGTGTTAGAAGTGGTGGGATTCATCTAATGTAAGCTCTATTAATACCAACACGCTTTAAAATTTTAAGCATAATTTGTACATAAAAATAAAAGGTGAAACTTAAAATCTATCTCTAAATTATCAATCAAAATCACACAATTTTGTAATATGTGAATATAATAAAAATTCACATTTCAAATTCTATCACCATTAAAATTGAGCAAGGATATCATTTTTTTTTTCCTTTTGGGTTTAGGACGTTCCTTTGACTAATCCTAATGATTTCATAAATTTGAGAAAATATTTCATCCGAATCTGTTTCCGAAGGAAAAAAACAATTCCATACTTCAGACGTATGCAGCATGAGTACATAATGAAGATTATATTTGCGTTATATCGCGTTAAATCTCTTGTAAATTTTATATAACTTTCTTGTAAACTGCAGTTAAATGGAAATAGAAAGAAAAAACTTATTTGTAAGTTCAGGGGACCAAAATTTTCTCTTTCCGAAGGTCACCTTCTTCTCTTACCCTTCTAGATCCAAATTCGGGCTCCCCAGCGACAGACAGCGATAGGGCGAGCGGAGTAGAGAGAGAGAGAGAGACTCAAATCTAGTTGACGCTGTCCAGAGATCTCGGAATCTCGAACTCTCGATCGTTCGTAGAGGATAGGGAAAGGGTTAGGGACTCAAATCTAGTTGACGCTGGTCCAGAGATCTCGGAATCTCGAACTCTCGATCGTTCGTAGAGGATAGGGAAAGGGTTAGGGAGAGCGGCGCTGACTTGCACTCACTTGTTTTTTTCTCTGGGAATGGGGGATGAACAGAGTACACGTCTCATGCGAATGCCCAAGGAGGGGGAGCGCATCCTCGCCCCGACCCGGCGGCCTGACGGTACCCTTCGTAAACCTATTCGTATACGAGCCGGCTACACACCCCAGGATGAAGTAGCGATCTACCAGTCTAAGGGCACCCTTGTAAACGTCCGCACTTTCCCCATCTCCCATTTCCTTATTCTTTCTTTCTATCTAAAAGTTTGTCCTTTTCTTTCTCTTCCTTCTTTTGTTGCATAATGTAGATGAGGAAAGCGGCTGAATCGCTGGTCCCTCCCGGCTACGATCCGGCGCTGGACGCAAAGCTGAAGACCAAGTCCGAGAAGAGGAACGAACGGAAGAAGGAGAAGAAACTCCGGGTGAGTTTTTTACCTATAGTTGGTGTGAATTAACGGCGAAAATTTAGATTTTGGTTTGACTAATGGTCTGATACTGGAATATTACAGTGATGGAAGTTTAATTTGGTCATATCTGAGTTGATCTGTTGTGTGAAATTGGGTCTTGGTATATAAAATGCTTTGTTCATGGGTGAGGACCAAAATGTGGCTAATTTGATTCTATTTAGACTTGAGAGTAAGATGAACAATGAGTTAAAATGAATTCATTACCTTTAATTTAAACATTATAAAAATAGAGTAGTCACAAGCACACATGTTGGTGCAAATATTTTGAATTAGTAACCATCAAAATTGACTTCAGGACCATTTAAAGTATTCGTTTTCAACAAACTTATAGGGAAAATGTGCATTATGACAAAACGAATTTGATTAGTTCAAGATTTTCCAATTTTGACATTATTTAGACACTAAATGCTCAAATAATATCGTATGAGGAAGGGAGATCAACACTAACCATTTGATGGGGTGCTTTGAATTTTTGTCAAAATGACAAGCATGCTAATTCACTGAAATCTATAAACAAACTCTAGTTCCACTTATTTTAAAAGCCTAAAATGGGACTTGAAGAAGGATTCCTATGGAGAGTATCTAGAGCTTTACTTATTAACACTGGACACTTTCTTTTGCTAATAAGACTTATGGCTATCATTTGTGTCAATATTGAAGCTTTTCATTGATACCAACATTGACTTTTGCTATCAACATGAAGGCCAATGAGCACTATTGCTACAAAGACTACTTCACCATTGTTAATAAGGTTGCCATCTGCCTCTCAATCATTGTTAATAACAACCTTCTTGTTCACTAGTCTCCCATTCTTTAAGAAGATAATTTGAACTGACCGCTAACAATCTTTTAATTAGAACTTTAGCACTCAAGGCTTCTTCTTTTTTCCACTATGTAATCCATTCTTCGTGATTAATGTCTACCTCATTATATTAATGCTTCTCTAGTTCAGAGGAAAGATGTTTTTATAATACATAACTCATCTCTCGTGATTTTTTTCTTCCAAGATATTTCATGATTTCTTATGAGTTGCTTGTAACTTATATGAGTTTACGGAGATTTCTTTTATTTGTATAACAATAAATTTTCACTCTACACTCGTGAATTTTCTAACAGGCAATTGCTTTGCATGCATTTCTTTTTTTTTTTATTAAATTTCACCCAAATATTTTAGATTAATTCTTTTTACAAGAATAATAAAGCTTCTTTTTTCTTTCAATCTAGATAAATATTGTAATTTAGAAGAGGGATGGTTGAAATGTCAATTTTTTTACTTCTAGTTTCCTATTTGATTTTAATGGGCTTAATGCATATGCAAGCATGGTGCAAATTATTATTCTTATAGAAATCAAACTTTTCCTGTCTTTATAATTTATGTTTTATTATTTTTTTGTAGCAATTCAATGATTACAATATTGCATAATTTGAAATTTTTCTAGGGGTTTGGATTATTGCATAAGGGCTTTTACTTCATGGGTTTAGTTCATCACTGTTTATGATTTAGAATGCCATAAATTACCTTAAGTACAGTGCTATTACATGCAAAATGCTATATTTCACTTCATAACAACCATCTTGACTATTCTAATGTTTCATATAACTTTCCCTTCGGTTTTTCTTACCGTGATCAATTGTTAATGTTTTTGCTTTTTTTGAAGACTAAAGTGTATCGGTGATTGAACGCTAGAGACTAGATGTTGGTGTCAAGGCTTGATAAAAAAATCATTGCTAATTGGATCCGATCAATCAATCCCTAATTACTACCAAGGCTTGATAAAAACATTATTGCTAATTGAATTCGATCAATCTATCCCTAATTACTACTATTGTATGAACATATTTTTAGGTCTTCCTCTATCCTAAATTGGGTTCTTCAAAAAATGCAATTGACCCCAACAAGAAACTCATAACTCCTATAATATCCTTCTTCTTGAGACTCCTCTCATAGTTGTCAATTTTTTTTGTTTTGTTCGCTGTGGTTTGTGAGTGTTGAGTTTGCATGATACTTGAAAAAATTCAAATATGACCCAAAGATCTAATGTTAATTTGTATAAGTAGCTTACACACAACAACAAACAATATTAGTTATACACGAAGAATCATTTCTTGGATAGAGGATAATTATAACCTTAAATTAACCTAGCTAAATTGAATTGATGCATTCTAACCAATCAAAAGAGTGTTTAGTGGAGAATGTCACTCTTGAGCTATTATAGCATTAGCCACTATAGATATGAATGCCAAAAATTGATTTGCTTTTAGGGAGATGCCATGTGGTCCATGAAGGGGAGAAGATATTGCCTTAGGCTTGAGATACCTCTTGGCTTGGCGAAAGAAGATAAAGACGAGTTAGTTGTTTGTTCTTGAGGGTGGAATTGGTTGGTGTTGGAGGAGCACTCATTTATGAAGGAGGTAAAGTGGAAGTAGAAATAAACATAGAAAGATAGTAATATACATGGTTTGATTTTGTAGCCTATGTTTACAGTGCACTGAGAGGGATGCATTCTCTATTAGATGGAAAATAATACGGATTACAGGGAAGAACTACATTGCTCTATTGAGCGAATCTTGATGGAAGAGGGATAAAAGGGATGAAAAGATAAACTTCTTTACATTAATTCAGTCTTAATAAATTTGAATCCTTTAAAATGTCCATTTTGATGAGTTTTGTAAGGTGAAATCCAACCTTTTGATTGATTGCCTAGTGAGTCATCATAAACTAGAGTGACATGGTATTCCTTTCATCCTTTTGCGATAGACAATTATGTGAAATGACATGTCACTTTTGAATTGGTGTTTGGTGGAATGTGCTCTAATTGAATCATTTATGGGTAGCATGGTGCAGTGGCCTAATGGAAACATCTTAAACTGGTCAACCTAGGGTTCACAAAGCTATCAGTGGGGCCAATTTGTTTGGGAGCTGACGAGTATTGAGTCAGTCTAATGAGTCATGGATGCAAGTTAACCTGGAGCAGTTCGATAAGGAGACATCAATTGGAAAGTTGATGATTGTTGTTGGAGATGTATGCCGAAGGGTGAGATATTCATTTTGGGATATTGTCGGTGGAGTGGGTTGGTTTGAATATTATAGTCAATAAAGAAGATGAAGGATGCTTTTTTAATAGGATGGTCAAGAGATGTTATGCTGACGTAATATAGGGACATTAAGGAACGATTGACATCAACTGAGTGACATGGTGAGGTTTCATAAAAATATTAGCTTGAGATGCTAGTTGGGGCTTGAGTGAGATGGGTCGAAGTTGTGGGACTTAGTTGGAATAAGGCCGATGTGCATCATGGTGGTAGTTAGTTGATTTTAGGTGAATGCACTAAGAGATGGGTTGCTGCGGATGAATATTATTGATTAGCGAATAAGTAGATCATCATGCCTTCAAATTTAGGCATCTACAAGGAAAGTGTTGATAGAGAAGCACTTCATGGAGGAGATTGTGAGTTTGGCCAGTTTGCTCTAAATTTAGGAAGTGTATGGTTTCATCTAATGAGAGAATTACTAGTGTGCAGTAAAGGTTGAAGTCACTAACCTAGGAGGCAATGGGTGTATTTTGAGGCAATGATCGATAGTTGTAATTTCAAGCAGATTGTTGACAAATCTAGTTGAACAAGGCTTGGGAGTCGTTCTTGGGAGGATTGAATTTGTTATCAGTGGGTTAATCTAGATTACTATTATTGACAATGTTAGTGCTCGAACATTGTTTGCCATATGTACAAACTTAATTGGTTGTGCAAATAGGTGCAATGCCTTCCTTTTTTTTTTAAACTTATAAGTATATGTTCAAAATTCTTGCTAAGTTTTAACCACCTCTCTGAATCCACATATTCTCCTTGATTTTCTTATCTGTTTCATTGGAGATGTTGAAAAGTGAGAATAATCACACACTATGCTCCTTTATGAAGAAAGTGAGGGTGGAGGCGTGATTGAAGGGACGTCGATAGTGCTTGTAGGAGAATAGCTAATGATGACTACAATGAATGTTCAAATTTGTTAGGATTGCAATGATGACATGAGTTAAATGAACTCTCTCTACAGGAGAGAACTACAATATGCACACAAGGGGTCATGTGGATAGTTTCATCAATGAATTTTAATGTAGTAATGCCACGATTGATGTCGAGGTTGAATAGGGTTGATGAGATCATCAAATCTTTCCTGTAGTCAACTCTAAGAAGAATCTTCCAAAGGTTTGTACATCTTTTGGATCATAATTGGTGAGCAATTACATATAATTTGGAGCATCGAGAGCTTTAGGGCAACATAGGTGAACACCACCTATTGTTATACCTTCAAAGGCTGTGCATGAGATGTTGGTTTTGAGGTGCAAAAAATTTCAATGGCTATGTCTCAAGCATTGCGGTGGTTCAAAATAGGTTCTTAAGTTTGTTATCACCCCTACTAAGAAGTAGGTGGATGAGGAGGTGCAATAGAAGGCAACAATGAAATTGATAATGTGGATTGTTGAGCTTGAAGTGGAGTTGATGACTGTGATAGTAGATGGCCAAAATCCAACAGACTTACACCTTTGAATCCACTAATGAGAATGTTAAATTGCTTTGAAAGTGGATATAGGAGTTGGAGGATGGATTCTTTGGTAGGTTGACATTATTTGATACAAAAAGTGTGAGGACTAGCCAGATAATAAATTGATCCTTGGTATTGACATATTAAACTTCTTGAAAGTGATGATTTCAGGGCAATAGTTCCTTCTAGAGGATTTCTTCTGATGTGTTTGGATTATCACGCTTGCAGCAACAAAATGATGGTGGAGTTCATCGTCGATGACTTAGAGGAAGCAGATAGTGACATCCTTGTTAAGCATGTTGAGCTTGTTGCATTTAATATGTATACATTTTCCTTCTTTTTTTCTCTCTCTTTTTGAAGTCAACATTTCACTCTGTTTATGTCTTTGTAAAGTTATTGTAATAGTAATAAAAAAAAA